ATCAAGGGCCATGATCATCGATATGTTGGAAGAGATGGAAACCATTCTCCATTTGATCCAGAGAAGAGAAGAGTTCCCACGGGATCCAACCCTCTCCACAATTTATGAGTGCAATGCAATGTGTTCTTCCACTATTTGCTGCCATTTTTGTACCTTCTCCTAGCTTGTAGATTAAGGTTTATTAGTTACTAAAGTGAAGTTCATACAACTCTTGTTGTTTTTATAGAAAGTGGGATAGATAGCTATTGAATTGAGTAATGATCCATTGGTTTGCATTTTTGAGTGAAAAATTAAATGCTGTTGTTTCGTATATATGCTCAATTTCTAACATCATCTTTTTGTTCTTCATTTTGTTGCATAGTTAAAAGAAGATGTACTTTAATTATTCTATATTTATCTTTTTCCTTTTTTTCCTTAAAAAAAAAAAAAACTTGCTCATTGGTTCAATTTCTTCTAAAGAAACTAGACTAAAATGTTAAGAATTTATAGTCAAGCATAGTTTAAAATGCCTAAGCCCTTCGGGAGATATTTCTACAAGCATCGTGGAATTCTCGTAGATTTCATTGCGGTCTCGTGGAGTTTTCCGGTTGCATTAGTATTAGGATATTTTTTTTTTTTTAAAAAAATGCTATGAAAATAAAAAATCAAAGTTAGAATACAAAATAGAACTCCAAATAAACAAATCCTAGTTTTTTTTCCCTACTTATTCTATATTAAATTTTTTCCCAAAAAAAAATAAATAAGAAAGAAGAAAAAATATATATATACATATATAGTAGAGTAGGGTTTGAGTCTCTATCTCGCACATTTTAGATATATAAAAAAATATATATATATGAAGGTGTTTAATGTAGTAATTGAGTTATAAGTTGATGAAGGGACCCAATATTTTTAATGTGCGGAATAAATACACATAACTTCACATCACACAACTACCTACCCTACCCTACCCTACCCTACAACTTCCATATTTCATAATTCATAATACCTTCCAACAATTAATATAATAGTAAATCATGTGTTTCTGTATTTCTGTATTATATATATATATATATATATTTATATATGGCGGTTTTTGATCCAGCCTTGAATGAGTTCTCTTTATTGTAAATATATGTTTTAAATGTTTATAAATAAGTTGCATGCTCAATCTTACATCATCATATATTATTCTAACAATATAATTAATTTTTTTCACAATGAATATTACATATATTATCAAACAATAAGATGAATATTTTATAAACAAAACACGCATGAAATTTTGTCTGACGTTAATATTTGTATTGATGCAATTTTTTAACAATAAAAAATAAAATTCGAAAATAGAAATTATTAATAAAAAATAAAATGTCTGAGATTTAAAAATCCCTAAACACCTTACGATACATAAGTAAAATAGGAAAAATAACTACTACAGACTGAAAAAGTAAATGGTGATCCCCAAAATTAATTCCAGTGAATTTTATGTCGATTGAAGATGGTTTCTTTAGGCCATGAGCAGACCTATTTAAAACCTATGTTAACCGCCATAACTAGGTCGTGCCTTCATATCCACTTGCCGGTTGTAACTTCTTCTAACCGCCTTAGAACTGCTTCTCACCCGACCTGCATATCTTACTGCTACGTCCTTTCTTGCCCATCTTCCACTCGTCCGATCCGCTCGCCGATTGTAACTTCTCTCAAACGCCTTAGAACTGCTTTTCGTCCGACCGGCACACCTGCTGCTACGTCTCCCCCTATCCGCTTTCCACTTGTCCGACCTCCGTGTCCGCCATCTCATCTTTATCCCGACCTTATCTTGTCCGACCTCCGTGTCTGCCGTCTCATCTTTCTTCGCCCGACCTTATCTTGTCCGACCTCCGCGTCTGCCCTCTCATCTTTCTCCGCCCGACCTTATCTTGTCCGACCTCCATGTCTGCCGTCTCATCTTTCTTCGCCCGACTTTATCTCGTCCGACCTCCGTGTCTGCCATCTCAACTTTCTTCGCCCGACCCTATCTTGTCCGACCTGTATGTCACCCGACCTGAGTACATATTGTTTTCCCTTCTTCGTCTGACTTCCTTTTGCCCGACCTGTATGTCACCCGACCTGAATAAATATTGTTTTCCTTTCTTCATCCGACTTCCTTTTGCCCGACCTGTATGTCACCCGACCTGAGTACATATTGTTTTCTCTTCTTCATCTGACTTCCTTTTGCCCGACCTGTATGTCACCCGACCTGAGTACATATTATTTTTCCTTCTTCATTCGACTTCCTTTTTCCCGACATGTATGTCACCCGACCTGTTAATCACAATTTTCTCCCGATGAAACCTTTCTTTTAATAGTGTTTAAACTTATATTTGGACCCTTTTTAAAGGCCCTACTACTATTAACAGGCCCATTAGACTCTACACCAATTTTTAGTCCAATTTAACAGGCCCATTAGACTCTACACCAATTCTTAGCGCAATTTAACAGGCCCATCTTCGAAAACCCTATACATTGGTTTTTTCTTGTTCAACTACGTGCCTCCTCCCGCCCGACTCCTAAGCTTCACTTCTCGGACTGCGCGAGATGTGACGTTTAGGGTTTTGTAACACAGCGCTATCATTACATTGTTTTATGTCACATCACAGGGTTTATGTAAAACCCTTTTCTTACTCGTCCATACTCACGCACTCAAAATCCTGAAACCCTCGTTTCTCTTCCCAGAGATCATCTTCCAAAAACCCTCTGCTCCTTCGCTCTCTGCATACTCCTCCCGAATGGCCAACCAATATGTCCCTGCTCTTCCTTTCGACGGGACTGACCCATCGGTGCCTTTCGTGGCTTCGAGAGTCCTTACCTCTACCATTCGCCCTTATTGCACGACAAATGAAGATGCCGACCGAATGAAATCCGTTATCTCTCAGGTTTCCCCAATAATCATCAATGATGCTACGTTCAAACCGGAACGTCTCCTGGATAACATCAGAACTCACCTTACCGATCCAAAAGATGCCTATCGCAAATGGCACGCGAGACTGCTCCCCCATTTTGAGGAACAATGGAGGAGGCAAGGTATTGACAAAGCCATCCTTCTCTTGACTCAACCTCTCCATCTCCACGACAAAGCCCTGCTGGCGATGGCGGCCTTTTGGCACTCTCAAATGGGTGTCTTCTTTCTCCATTCTGGCCCTATTGGCCCGACCCTGATGGACGTGGCCATCATTGCCCATTTGCCTATAGTGGGTGATGATCTTGTTCTGGTTTCTTTTGAGGATCGGGAGCCTTCACCCGACCATGCTGGTTGGGCCCTTGCTAAACTCCCTGAAAAAGAAAGGAGTTGGACTGGCTTTGTTACCAGATTCTTGGGTGAAGAGGGCACCCCTGTATCTGATCTGGAACACACAACGTTCCTCCTTTTTTGGCTGTGCAGGTACAGTTTTTGTTCCTTATGTTTTTACGTGAATTTCAAGCTGGGTATTTAGTTTGGTTTTTTCTTTCTTTACAGATATATCATTCTTTCCCCCTCCAAACTCGTCCTTTCTTCCCAGGTTGATCTGGTCATTTACCTAGCCAGCGACCAATTTTTCTCGTTAGGAACTCTATTTTTGGCCAACCTGTTTGAGGGGTTAGCCCGGGTGAGCACCCGCCTGACCGATACCAAGAAGGCGGACACAACCGCTTCGGGACCATTTTGGTTTCTGGAGTTGTGGCTTCACCTCTACTTCCCGACCGTCTTTTTTGGCCGACTTCCTATTACCCCGAACCCAAAAAGGTCGATTGGCCTTGCCTTAGCCAAACTAACCCCCAGTTCTTCTAATCTTCATCCATCCGACCCTGTCATCACCCATATTTTGACCGAAGACCGTAACAATTCTCGCTTTTACATATATGAAACCCTCATACAGTATGATACCGAACTTTTTTGGCTTTTCTCTGACGCACTACATCCCCGACCTTATCCTGATCCTCTTCCCCATCCGACTTATCCCTTCTCCTAGGATTCTGCCATGAAACCCCGATCTCTATTTTCCGGTAAGAGGTCGGAAAAGAAACATCATAGATCATTTTATACCTTTAATTATCAGCCCCAATTCTTGGCCCGACAATTTGGTTGTTGTCAGGGTCTTCCGGGACCACTAGCCCGACCTCACCTTATACCTCAGAGACCAGAAGGCCTGGTGATCCCTGAGCTCATCCCGACCTACCTTTCTCAACTCACAGACTACATTACCTCCAACTCTTACTTGCCATTCCACCGTAAACCTTCGTCGGCTGAAGCCTTCCCGGCCTGGTGGTCGGCCACTTGGTCCCTAATTGCTCCTTCAACCGACCAATTGGTTAGGAAACTTGTCCCGCCCCCAACCTTGCCGCTAGGTTCCCCTCGATTGACTGCTGCTCCGAGAAGGAAAAGACAGGCCCCCGCCGCAGGTGGTTCCGGAACGAAAAAGAAGAAGCAGAAAGCCGCCCCTGTCATCGATAGACGGGCCATCGAGGAGTACCTAGCGTCTCTGCCAGTGGATACAAGTGGGCTGCCAAAATACTTGAGTAAACAATTTTGTAAGTTCTTACCTTTTCCTGTCTTCCTTTCTGTATATGTCCTTTTAACTTCAATGGTTCCCATTCCAGAGGATTCTTCATTGCCACCGATCACAGCCCTGACCGCCTTTCAACCGGCCGAGACTCAGCTGACCATCACTTCAAATCCCGCTCAGCCAGCCGCAGTTCAACCAATTGACCCTCAACCGACCGCGGCTCAACCGACTATTACTCTGATTTCCTCTCAATCAGCCGCGGTCCCAACCGCAAACCAACCGACCTCTACTCCATCCGCGGAGTTGCCAGTGACCTGTCGGGGAGAGGACCCGACGGTGAGGTAGTTATCAACTTCTACCCGACCGCCATCCAACCGACTGCCGCAACACCGACCCTGGCTGAGCAACCGACCGTCCAAGATCCGCCTGCCGAGGTAGGTTATTTCCTTAAACCCTTCCAAAGAAAATACTTCTTAATTTTTACTAACGTTGACTCTCCTTTCTATAGAACCATCCCAGTGCTCCACCAGCCATCCCTCAACCGCCTCTTCTTCCTGCAGAAGAGGAGTTGCCAATGATCCGTCGGCCAGAGGAACCGTCGCGGAGGCAAACCACTCCTCCGATTTTGCCTTCGCCTGCTCCGCAACCATCACAGGTAGCTGTTAAGATATTTCCATATGATTCTTTTATAAATCTCTGACTTATGTATTATTTCAACTAGGAACCTGATGCGGTCGCGGCACTGCCCGACCAACTTGTCGCCTTCCCCGACCAAGTCGCGGAACTACCTGACCCAGTCGAGGCACTACCCGACCCCGCTGCTGTATTGCCTTTGCAGCCAGCCGCTCAGCCCGTGGGTGAGGTTCCTCTTGTCGCTCCTCAACCAGTCCAACCGATCCCGCCGCCTCACGACATAGAGGAGATTTCTTCCTCGAAGTCGCGCGAAGCTTCAGTCAATTTTGCCCCAAGGGGTTCGGTTAGTATTATTTCTCCTCTGCTTTCTGACTTTCATCCCGTTCCGTAGTTTAATTTTCTCCTTTGAGGGCATGGTGTTGGCCGTCGCCCACCGTCTGCAACCGGGAGACGAGTCGGTTGCTGGCCTGACGACTCGTTATGGTGCCCCCAAGACGTTTGGCTCATGGCCCCTTCTGAAGCCACGGCCGCTCTAGATCAGGTAAACTCCATCTTTATATTGTAATGAGTTCACCACGTTTTTCCATACTTAACATTTTCCTTTTGTCTCAGGCTACCCAAGAGATGAATGTTTTGGCCCAAGTGAACCTTCCGACTCCAGCCAGATCTATCATAGAGCGCTGCGCCGACCTGTCTTTTACCGACCTGAGTTTAGCCGACCTCGAAGCTGTAGTTCAGGTCGCAATAGAGTTGCTGGTACAGCCCACACTGGAGTCGGAAGCTCCCCCCATCCTCGATCGGATGATGGCAAGGATCACCAAACTTCGAGTCGAGCTACCTCTAATCCGACCTCCATCGTCCGAGGTCACGTCATCTCAACCAACCGCTGATCCAGCCAGTCTTGAGACAACCTTGAAGAAGGTCGATCAAGACCTTAATCTTGCCAAGGCTACGCTGGACGAACTCCGACAAATGCGACACACGTTGGCGGCTGAGATCTCCCAAAAGACGGAAGAGCTCAGACGCCTCCAAGAACAGTTGGAGTCCCTGGATGACAGCATTCAGGAAGGGAGTCGCCTGGTGGAGGCACACTGCCAGACCCAGATGAGTCTCTGCGACTCCAAACAGCCATACGAATGAGACTCGTCCGGGGACACCAGGAGGCTTATCAGCGTCGGCGGGCCACACGGTCGGAATTGAAGTGGACCGACCTCCGAACCGCCCTTAGGGCCCTGCTTTCTTTGCAATCCTGATGTAATATGTATATAACTCCGAGACTTTGTCTATACATGCATCCTACTTTTCAGAACACAGATCCTTGTTCTTTGCACTTTTACTAAGTCAGGAGTTGAACACCACAGGATTAAACACCATAGCGCCTATATATACTCCATTTTTTCTTGCTGCAAACATCATCAACTTCCACCATATCACACCTAAAAATGGTTTCTCCTTGCATTCGCGTTCCTGATTCCAACTGGGAAGGTGCTTTGCAACCATTCCTTGTGGAAAAACACCCCATAGGTCATCATGTTGACGACATGATACACGTGCTCAAAAAACTGGATTCTAAATTTAAATTTTCTAGTAGAGGCAGAAGAACCATACATCGCACAATCCGTTTAATGGAATGCATATCCACCAGTTATGAACCCTTTACTGATATATTTACCCGTGTTTCTGATCTCGACCACCATCTAGATATGATAGACCACTATGTCTCAGCCATTTTCCCAGACCTTAGCTGGAACAACATTTTCCACCAACAAAGATCAACATTCTCCAAACTGCGTGTTCTTGCTGAACGAGAAAGCCAATCTCTACAGGACATGAAAGTTCACACCGAACAAGACCTTCAAGAAATGCAAGATCAGTGGGATCGCTATCGTCTTGATTTGGACGACCTCCTGGATGAAGAACCCGAACTGGTTTCTGTGAGTTGGGATGAAACCTCTGAACCAGAAAATGATCACCCTTGTGTTACCCTTTCGGATGATGACTAAAGAACCCTGCCCTATAGGTTCGAACCCTTTGAACGGGTTCCCAGATTTTGTAATAAGAATTAATGACAATATTCTAAAAAGGCAGGGTAATACCTTTTCAGATACTTAGCATTAATATTTTCATGTACTAGCTTTCCCTCTTGATTTATAATAATGAAAGCTCCATTTCCAATTACTCTATGAATGATAAAAGGCCCATCCCAATTGGGGGACCATTTCCCTAATTGGTCCACCTTCTTATACGTAGGCAGAATTGTTTTCCAGACCAAATCTCCTTCTGAAAAGACCTTTGGGGACACTTTTTTTCCATAATATTTTTCTCTAATTTCACTCCGTCTAATCACTTGATCCAGAGCATTTAACCAATCTGTGTCCACCTCCTCAAGTTATTGCCATATCCTTTGTGCATGCGCCTCATCAATAATTGCTTTTGTATTAACCACCCTAGGTGAAGACACAACAAATTCTGCTGGCAGAACAGCATCTTGCCCGAACGTTAATTGGTATGGGGAGAATCCAGTAGAAGTACTTCTACTGTTTCGGTGGGCCCATAATGCTTGTTGTAGCAATGTGTGCCATTTACTTGGATTTCCTTCTACCATTTTCCGGATAATGCCGATGACAATTTTATTTGCCGCTTCGGCCAACCCATTAGCCTGTGGGTAATAAGGTGAAGAATGATGCAATTTGATGTTAAATTCGGCCAAAAATTCAACAAATTTCTCCCCGGTAAACATCAAAGCCTTATCGGTCATAAGGGTATGAGGAATCCCAAATCGATAAATAATGGGATTGAGTACGAACTCAATCACTTCTTTTTGCGTTGCATTCTTCAAAGGGACTGCCTCCACCCATTTGGTAAAGTAATCAGTTGCTACCAAAATGAACGAATGTTGCTTTGATGATGCCGGATGAATCTTTCCATTCTTTTTGGTTACCGGAACAATATTGGCTAACCATTCTGCATACCGACAGGGTCGAATGAACCCTACTTTCAGCAATTTCTCAATTTCTTCTTTGATCTGTGGCAGAAATTCTGGATTAACTCTTCTTGGTGGTTACTTATATGGCCTGAACCCCTTCTTAATAGGCAACCTATGTTCTATTAAATCGCGCGCCAGTCCGGGCATCTCAGAATAATCCCATGCTAGACACTCCATATGGTCCCGAATTACCGTTACCATTTGCTCCTATTGGTTTTTAGACAATAAACCACTTACCCTGACCATCTTGGGTATCTGCTCGGTTCCTACATTGTATTCAATGAGAGGATCCTGAGTTGACAATGAGGGTTCTGTCTTTCCTAAGAGATCAGGCCAGCGAAAACCTTCTCCCTCATCAACATTATTGTTGGAACCTTCCCTATTATGTAATCTAACTATTAATTGGTTTAAATAAAACTGCCTAATTAGCTCGTCACATTTACTTATTTCTTCCATAATTAAACTTTAAAAATGTAAAGTTTTTTGGCTAACAACAGAGCCATAAGACAGAAGAATGTTTCTAATGAAACACATAACCCTGCACAGTGAACTTACAGCCCTTCCAGGGATATTCATCTACCACAGCTGTCTGTGAAATCAGAGGTACGTACTCTGAATACAGTACCGACTCTTCCACAACTTCTGTGGAGCCGAACGGATTAGTGCTGGCATCCATTCTGAATACCTGATCTCCTTCCCAAAACATGATCTGCTGATGGAGAGAAAAAGGCACGCATTTGGAAGCATAAATTCAATCTCGCCCCAACAAGACCGAATAAGTGGTGTTGGCATCTACCACGAAGAATACTGTTGAAATCACCTTCGGTCCAACTTCAATGGGAGCCACCATCATCCCTTCTGGTTTCGTTGGTTGCCCTGTGAAGCTTGTCATCTCGATATCTACTGGAGACAGATCACCAACTTCTTTGCCCAACTTCTTCAGAGTTTTGAGAGGCATGACGTTGAAGACGGCCCCATTATCAATTAAAACCTTGCTAATCGGTTTACCACAGATGTGAGCGTTAACATATAATGGTTTCAAGTGTGGGATTGCTCCTTCTGGTATAGGCGGAAAAACCATAGGCGGGGGACTGCCGTGTGTGCGTCCAGGACTGCCAGCCATTGCCGCCCACTCTGGTTCTTCTTCTTCCAGTCTTGCCCAGATGGGTTCATCTTCCTCCTCGAACCACCGCATACCAGTCATCCTGACCTCGAACCCGGTTTTATCGGTCTTCACTATCTTGCTGCGTTTGTTTCTTCTGGAGCAAATGTTCCGAAGACTATCTCAGGGACCTCATCTTCGGCAGATTCTATTTTGGGATCGATATTGATCCGTCTATAGAACTGACACCGAAAGCACCTAGCCTTCTTGATAGGCCTTTCAATCTCCCTGTGCGCCTGTAGTCGGTCGCTTGAGCTTTTCCTTTTGGGTGACATCTCTTGCTTCTTCTTCCCCTTGTCTGCTCGCTTTCCGTGCCGAACTGCATACCTGCGCTTAGCATTACGGATTTGTGTACAATTCATATCTGGAAATCGGGGATCGATATCTATTGACAGAGGCTTTCTGTTCCGACTTCATTTGTCATGGACTGGTTGTGGCTTGCGCATTGGTCGATCCCGCACTACCGTTTTATCTTTCAACTCCACTTCAAAGGAACCATCTTTTTAATCCCATTTCTCTGCCACTCTGGTTTCGCAAACCTTAAACTTGTCGTCCTGATCAAGCTCCCGCTCATTTGGCTTACGCTCCTTTCGCCTAGTATCTCCTTCGTCATCTCTTTGCGTGTCTTGTGAAGTACGCACAGAGATTACAACAGTAGTTAACTTTGGGAAAGGCTGTTGCACTACTCCCATTGTCACGTACTTGAACCTCCCTACTTTGATAGCCTTCTGTATTTCCTTTCGGAAATGCGTACATTGATTAGTGTAATGCGTAAAAGAATTATGCCCCTTACAGTATGGCTTTCCTTTTATCTCCTCTTTCGTTCCTTACCGTTGTCCTTTAGGGATGCAAATTTGCCCATCCGCTAGCAGAATATCAAAGATTTCATCTGCTTTATACGCATGAAAGGTCGATTGTTCCCGCTCTTCTACTCCTGGAAGTGGCTTCAATTTGGAACACACATAAGGCTTACCGTTTACAATTTCAGCCGCCATTTCTTCAATGTTACTTCCCTGCTCATCATCTGGCGCCTACATTTCTGTATCGACACTGGCCATTTGTTGGACCCTGTTCCGCCGGAAATTGTGATCTTTTTCTCTAAAAAGAGATTCTAACCTTCCTGCTTTGGAAGCCAAACTGGCCAGATCTCGAACATCGTGGGCTGTCAACACCTCCCGTAGTCTGGTATGTATATTCCTGACCACTAAATTGGTCATCTTGCTTTCCTCAATGATTGTCGGGCAACCTCCCTTCATTAGACATATCCGCTCTATAAATTGATAGGCGGTCTCTTCCGGAATTTGCCGGATCTCCAAGAGATCTGTGAGTGAGACCGTCGGGAGAGGATTAAAGAACCTTGCATGAAAAGCTGCTTCCAAACCTTCCCAAGTTTGCAACTGTCCTGGCGGAAGATTGGCAAACCAGGAAAAACGGTTCTTGTGAGCGATAATCCAAACAACTGTAATTTTTTAAAAGGATTATTGCCCACTTCCCCCAGTTGAGCCGTGAAACGCCCCACGTGCTCAATGGTTGAGGCTCCATCTTCTCCCGAGAAAGAATAAAAATCCGGTGCCCTATAATTTCTTGGGAGAGGATGCTAATTGATGATTCTCTCTGGAAATGGCCTTGGATATGCCGGCATGTTCACCGTTTGAGGATTCATTCCGAAATACACCCTCAAGACTTGAGCAATGTCTTCTTGATCCACTCTGGGTGCAATAGGGTCGAACACAGGAATGGGATTATGAGCCCGACCTCCCAATCTTTTTTCTATGGGGACGGTTGGCTCGGCTCTGACACCCAGTGGAAAATTATTTAGGTATGTTAGAGAAGTCTTTCCCCTGTCAACCCTAGTAGTGGCACTTGGAAGAGTTCTATCTACATATGAAGGCCCCACGAAATTTGCTTGTAATCTGGACGGTGACATCTCTGGCGGTGAATGGGTGGGTTGTAGAGTAACCCTTGATAAAGCTTGATCTAGCATATTTTGCATAAGGTTTAGTTGCTCACGCAACATGAGGGTTTGTTGCTCACGCAACATGTTTTGCATAGCCAGAGTTTGCTGATTGTTCAAGTGTTGAACATAAGATACCCAATCGGCGGGTGCTTGGGGGACTTCCCCTGCATTTCGCATGGCAGGTGCTGAAATAGTTTCCCCCACCGGTGTTGAAGATACTTGGGGCTGTGAACCCGCCATATGGATCCTTCTGATGAGTCGGCCAGACCTCAGTCATATAAAATTCTCTCTTGACGTAGGATAAGCAATCTTGCCTTTCTTTCACTATGGTCGCCAATTGTTGATGCAATTTTTCAATAATAAAAAGTAAAATCCAAAAATAGAAATTATCTTCGAATTTGATAAAAAATAAATGCCTCAGATTTAAGAATCCCTAAGCACCGTATGATATATAAGTAAAATAGGAAAAATAACTACTATAAACTGAAAAAGTAAATGGTGATCCCCAAAAGAAATTCCAGTGAATTTGATGTCAATTGAAGATGGTTTCTTTAGGCCATGAGCAGACCTATTTAAAACCTATGTCAACCGCCATAACTAGGTCGTGCCTTCATATCCGCTCTCCGGTTGTAACTTATTCTAACTGCATTAGAACTGTTTCTTACCGGACCTGCATATCTTACTGCTACGTCTCTTCTTGCCCATATTCCACTCGTCCGATCCGCTCGCCGGTTGTAACTTCTCTCAACCGCCTTAGAACTATTTTTTGTCTGACCGGCACACCTGCTGCTACGTCTCCCCCTATCCGCTTTCCACTTGTCCGACCTCCGTGTCCGCCATCTCATCTTTATCCGCCCGACCTTATCTTGTCCAACCTCTGTGTCTGCCATCTCATCTTTCTTCGCCCGACCTTATCTCGTCCGACCTCCGTGTTTGCCAACTCATCTTTCTTCGCCCGACCTTATCTTGTCCGACTTCCGCGTCTGCCCTCTCATCTTTCTCCGCCCGACCTTATCTTGTCCGACCTCCGTGTCTGCCGTCTCATCTTTCTTCGCCCGACCTTATCTTGTCCGACCTCCGTGTCTGCCATCTCATCTTTCTTCGCCCGACCCTATCTTGTCCAACCTGTATGTCACCCGACCTGAGTACATATTGTTTTCCCTTCTTCGTCCGACTTCCTTTTGCCCGACCTGTATGTCAGACGACCTGAGTACATATTGTTTTCCCTTCTTCATCCGACTTCCTTTTGCCCAACCTGTATGTCACCCGACCTGAGTACATATTGTTCTCTTCTTCATCCGACTTCCTTTTGCCCGACCTGTATGTCACCCGACCTGAGTACAAATTTTTTTCCCTTCTTCATCCGACTTTCCCGACCTGTATGTCACCCGACCTCTTAATCACAATTTTATCCCGAGGAAACCTTTCTCTTAATAGCGTTTGGACTTATATTTGGACCCTTTTTAAAGGTCTTACTACTATTAATAGCCCCATTAGACTCTACACCAATTCTTAGCCCAATTTAATAGGCCCATCCTCGAAAACCCTATAAATTGGTTTTTCTTGCTCAACAATTTGTATTTTCATATCATAATTCAGGAAATAGTAATGATAATACACTATCAAAAAAGGTCTTTTTGTAACAGTCAAATATTCGAAACTAAAACCCATTTTTCGTGCAAAATAGCTTTTTGTGTTGACTTTGTTATGGATTTTGACCGCTACGAAAAATCGAGGTATAAAAAGTGTGTTGCAACAAAATCCGTAACAAATATTTAGTGGTCAACTCTCAAAATAAGCACGTGTTAATTATATTTGTTACGTTTTTTGGTATGTAACAAAAACATCAATCATGTTTTTGAATCGACAAATATCCGACACAAATAATGCGAAACAAAAGTTGAATAATGTCAGAAAAATATTTGTTACGACATATGTCCGAATCAACAAATGCGTTAAAAATGTCTAAATTTGTCAGAAAACTTCTTGTTACAAGATTTGTCCGTAACAACAATACATTACAAAAGGACTGCCCCCTAACAAATAAGTTGTTTGTTACAAAATTAGTCCGCAACAAAAAGTCATGACAAAAGTCAAGCAACCATACATTACCATTTGTACCGGCCACTGTCCGTAACTAAAAATATGCTACCAAGAACGTCCCTGTGTGGCATAGTAGTTTTGTCGCCATAAATAAATTATATTTGTCTGTATTATTAATCTGTGAGACAAATAATTTAAAACTTAATCTTATCATAATTTTTTCCAAATCCATAGTAATACTACACATGGTCATCAATACAACGATGTTCATAGTCCAAACAAAAATAAAATATTAGTCGTCAACGGTGCTAACAAAACATCCCAAGAAAACACCAATCCGTACACCAACATAACAACCCACTAAATAACAATACGCAAAACCAAAAAGTAATACGTAAATAGATAAATCTGATATCATATGTAAGTACGATCTTAAGGGCAACTCATAAATACAACTATGAATGACCCAGCTCGTCGAGTGCAGAATCATGGAGTATGCAATCACGGGCGACGAACCAACTGCAATGTGTTTTTAATAATATATAAGCATTTAATACAAAAATTGAAGAAATTTAATTTCCAAAGGAATAAAGTAAATAAAAAAATGCGTACATCCTGGTAAATCTACTCGATATTATCTCCGTCGAATACATCATCGAGAATTTTTGCTCCAGCATTAGTTGGAAGGATAAGTGCGATCTCCGGGACTATTACAGCTGTAACATACACCTTAACAATGACTAGGGTATCACCTATATAAATAGTTTAAACGAGCGCTAGTTACGAGGAAGGTCTGCCTCTGTAGACATTATGGATAAATATAATAAAATAAAACTTACACTTTAGCTTGATCAAGGGACCCTATCTTAAATACAAGTATAGTAACAAATAAACTCGAAAAGCACTAATGAAATAGGCTGACCCCTGAATATGCTACTCTGCAACACATTAATCAAAATGAATGATAAAAAAATGCTTCACTTGCTACAACAATGTTGTATCTCAAAAAGCATCAGTGCAATTTGATATCTTCATTTTGCTTCACACATAGTCAAACAAATGGAAAACCTCGATTGTTATATAATACCATTAAACAGATCCTTTAGATTATCAACATCATTCAGAGCTAAAAGCTATTAAGAAATTCATCATCAGCAATAGAAATAATCTTCATGTTGTTCCCAAGGATAAATTATCCGACCAAAGGAATAATGATTTGAAAATGATAAAATCACGAAACACGCTTCCATAAGTGTGGACATGACTCCCACATTCTATTCAATACTGATGAGAATCTCTGATTTATTAGAACTTCACAATAAAGTGCAAACCTACTAGTAAATAACAATTATATTAAACATCGACTAAAATTGAATCCAAGCTTAATTAACAAGTTCTACACCTAAACAACTAAATAAACACAAAACTAACTTAGATTTAGAACCATACCAATCTAAGTTAATTAAAGGAGCAGCCCATCTTAGCCAAGGAAATCCAAGAAACAGAACAACACAAATTATCTTACTGCAACAACAAGGTTAAGGAACTAGACATAAATTAAACAACGTAAACCAATCTAATCTAACCTACAACAATCAAGACATATACAAGCAAACAATCAAGAAGAAAACTTATATATTATCAACATCCAAAGCCAAGAAAAACTTCCCTGATTGCAGAATTTTTCGTGGTGCAGAATTTTAGAGGGGACTGAGGGTTGGGGTTGATCTACTAATCCTCATACTTGCATATTTTTTTGCCTTTGAACGATTGTGGTTGACACTGAGGAGGAGCTACAATTAACAAAGAGAAAAAAAATCAGCCATAAGGCTATTTAACAGAGAGAAAAAAAATCAGTACATGGGTAGAGCTAAAGCTAATTCCAACATCAACCAAAGTAAGACACATGTCATTTGTTAGGGCTAGCACAGTCTACTCTTAATTGCCAATATATAGTTCAAGGCATATCAAAAAGATGAATTTATCAAGCATTGCAAATTTTCAGCCGCTTTAACTGAGATGCAGCTCCTATCACATTAATGTCATCTAAACTGAAATTCAAGAATACAAAGAAAACATACAACATAGACAAAAAAATATTACATTGATGTACCTTTGAAAATAATGGTAAAGCATCTAAGGCATTTTTATCAAGATTCGTCTCTTTCTGGAATTATCAAGGGCCAAGACTCCATTAGTAATTTTCTTTTGTTTGAAGCAGAAGTATCAAGAGTACTTTATCAGAGTGAATCATGGGGGACATAGAAAGTCTTTTCCCCATTATTTACATTCAACACTCACCAGTTTCTTTTGGGAACTTCCGAAGAGCCTGAGATAAGCCAAAAAAAAGTTGTTCATTGCTCATCAACTTATCCTCCAATTAACTTTCACCAAGGATCAATGCAACCATTATTGTATATCAACAAAAAATTTAAAACTAAACTGATAAGACGAACAACTGTGCCAGAGCATATTATCTAATTCAACTATATTTAGCTAGTGACGGTAGAAACTAAAGCATACTCAAGTACAGAAAATCCTAACATAATTACAAATGCATTTGACAACTAACAATAGAAACTTAACTATTTAAAACATCAAATCATTCATAAGAGCAATTCTCCGGGGTGTAGTACAATTTTATTGCCATTTATGGTTTCAATGTCTTTAAGTGGCTATAAAAGATTCGCCTGCAATAATCTAGTCCCGCAGTGATTTATTAATATAAGATATATTATTTGAAAAAACATGGTATCATATTATAATATTAGCAAGGATAAATACTTCCATTTAGAAGTAGTGAAGACTTCAAGGTGAGGCATGGTGAGATCGGCATAACTCCAATGAATCTTTTATTCCATACATTTACATACACGAATCAATCGCAAAAAATTATAATGCAAGTATATGTTACTTACAGGACCAACTACATTTCTGCAGTGTTTAATGTTATTCTCCTATAAGTGACTCAAATGTTAATGTTTAGATTGTCATACACAATCCTCATCTCAGAGTTTTCTCCACAAATATCTCACATCACACAACCATATAAGTGTGATTGGATCTTGGAATTCAGCTCAACTAACAGAATTTTTTCAATTTCTAATTTTCACATATGACATATTTTTTGCACAAAATCAGAATAACCCATAGTAGCAACACAACATATAATTAAATAATTTTCAAAACAAGAGATGTAACTAGATATCAACAAAGCATTTGTTGCTACTCCAAGGAAGCAGAACACAAAAGGAAACAAAATCAAGAACACGGTAAGAACAACTTATCCTTCTTTCTTTCTCCGGAAAGCTCCTATCGGTGACAATGGTGTCTTCAGTTTTCATCTCCGACATCAATCAGCAACCACGAACGGAACAAGCGGACAACGGCTGCTCTAGAGAAGAAGAAAAATGAAACAAAGAAGAAGAAGTAAACGAAGAAAGAAAGGAAATGAGGAAGAAGAGGCGGAAGAAGAAAACAAAGAAGGTGAGGAATAAGGAGAAACAAGAAGAAATGGAAACAAACAAGAAAAAGTAAGAGGAAGAAGAAGGCGAGCGGCGGCTAGGGTTTGATGTTTATATCAGGTTTGGTTTTATTTTATTTTTATCTTTAATTTAACTTATTATATATTAATAGAAAAATAATCAATAACTAGAAGAAATTGAAGATATTTTAATTATTTCTATGAATTAATTTATAATTAGCAATGAAAATATAAAGCATAATAAATTAATTAGTTTCAGTTATAAAATTATATTTTGTAGTTAAATAATAAATTTGAAATAATTGTATATAATTATTTTTTATAATTATAATATTAAAGTTTTTTTTACCGATTGAATTTGCAAATATATATATATATATATTACAAGATCTTACCTTATATGTAATTGCTACTGATATATTATCGAAATAAATATTTTTTTTAATTTTAAAATAATTTTATATTGATTTTTTTATTTAAATAGAAAATTTTAATATTAACTTATTTGTTATGGCTTGAAATGCATAACAAATATGTATATGATAACATCTCGTCCAAAATGTGTAATTGTTACGAATAAATTACCGAAATAAATAATTTTTTTTAAAATTTTAAAATAATTCTATATAGATTTTATATATATACAGAAATTTTCAACATTTAGATATTTGTTACAGTCTGAATTGCGTAACAAATTTATATAGGACGACATCCCGTTGAAAATGTATTTATTACGGATAAATTATCGAAATAAATACAAAAAAAAGGTTAACCAACCATTAAACTTTTTGTTCCGATAAATTTCGTAACAAAAGCCACTTTTTGTAGCAGACTTATTTTGACGGACAAAATACTAGCTACAAAAAGTCAATTTTTTTGTAGTGATAACAGCAACAATTCTAACATAACCATAACTATATATTATTTGTTCCTTTTTTTTATTTGATTTTGTGTTGCTTTTATTTTTGGTTAAACGGTAGTGTAATGTAATGTTTGTAAGAAAAATCTATTATATAAAAAATAATGATTGTATAACAAAAAAAACTAAATTCTGAAAAAACAATCCAAATAAGTGTGTTTTTTAGGAGTCTGGTTTAGTTTAATTTAGTTTTTTTTTGTTTTTAATTAGTAATTGTTGGAAAAAATGGGTATTGCGAGAATAAATGTGAAACCGAGTCGAGGATGGATCCTCTTTCCGAAAATTAGATACGCCCCGGTAGTGCCTCCGGTGGCTGGCGTTCTAACCCAAAGATAAAACAGTTTCCGTCTCCAATGAGAGTGGCACCTCTAATCGTTGGAGCTCCGGTGAACAAAAACGAGAGAGGAACTGAACTGGAGAGGCTTCCGGAAAACTAGAAAAGATGAGAGAAGAAGAAGAGAATTGTCGGTGTTAGTGTTGGTGTTTAGAATGAAGGGGGGAGGCCCTTTATATAGGCGTCTCCACTCAGCCAAAATGGCAGGGGATCAATTACGATCATAATTACGACATTAATTATCGATGTAATTTATTCTAAATTCAAACCTTCTGTTTGAAGCAGTCGTAATTGATTATAATTACAAACTTTTCGTTTGTGACGATTGTAATTTATTTTAATTTCAAACCTTCCATTTGAAACGATTGTAATTTATTCTAATTTTAAGCCTTCCGTTTACGATTATAATAAATCTACCCAACGGATGATATTTTATCCAAATAATACTGCGACTTAGGCTATATACCCAGGTTTAATTTGGGGTTGCACAGTTTGGTTTGCAAAATAACAAAAATATTAACCAAATCCCATACACAATAAATAAATAATATTTATTTATTTTTTCCAAATTAATCTAATTAATTTGATACACCGGCCCGTCGCATTTTCACTCACGGGATAATCGATTGCAAAATAACTGATTATCCAACAATCTCCCACATTAGCGGAAATGCCCATAAAGGACAGAAACTCAGCTAAATCCCTATGAGACATTGATACATCAGAACATGTAATTTTTGGCTTTGAACCTTCCATAGTCAACATTACTGAGTGTACTGGTGGCCCAGTTGACGTGTCACTCTCTCAATCTCAACTTTGTTCTTACGTTTTGATCCATTTCGGCCATGGATCTCGTCTTTGAATTCATAAGTGTTTCATTTGAAGCGGTCTACACTTCACACTTATATAGGTAATCCTATATCAAGGTATCTAACTCACACCTTTAGGATCATTAAGAGTCATTGACTCAACGTCACCACTTTTGCACATTTATAACACTCATTACTTTTCAGAGAATTGTAATTGAGTGTTCGTGCCGGACTCTCACAACTTAGTTTTCCCATTGAACCAAGTTTTGGGATCTTCAAGTGATTTGGTTGGAATACCACTGTAATTGTCTCTATCTTGTGGATTTCAAATTCATTCACTTTAGCAGTTTGTTTGATCTCTCTGCAACCCTTTGGTTAGCGGATCCGCTAGGTTTTCTATTGATTTTACATATTCAATAGTCAAAACCCCACTGGTGATCAAATGCCTTACAATGTTATGTCTACGTCGGATATGTCAGGATTTACCGTTGTAAATTCCATTCTTAGCCCTTGCTATTGTAGCTTGGCTATCGTTGTAACACCCCCAGTTGGCTCAGACTGGAAATGCTACCGCCACACTGCATCATGAGGTCGTCACCTCCTACTTCGGGCCCCACAATACAATGTTAAGGCTAAAATTATCATAAAAGCGCATTATTATATAACAGAATCTGATTTATAAATATTTACAAAACACACCCCTTAACAAGAGGTTTTTCCGGTTAAAAATTTACATATAATACAATAGACGTAAGTTCACTCACTCAGCCCATCTTTCTATATCTTGAGACGTCCCCTGTCTCGGATGTGCCATGCATACCTGAAACAAATATTTTCTTAGAAACAGTCCAGAATTAAATCCATTTTAAGAACTAACGTGAAATATGTCATTTCACACCTTTTTAAAATAAAGTCTAATTCCCGTTAATCATAAAATACGTGTCATGTCATGCCAATAGTGAAATGATGCAATACAGATATCAAACTCGACAGCAATGCACACTCACATATATATATATATCCGCCAAAGTGAGCAGCCGGAATAACCTCGGCTCCATAATCATAGGCTCACTACATCTGTCTAAGTGAGCAGCCGGAATACCCTCGGCCCCGTAATAACAAGCTCACTAGACCATCATCAATAAATAGCCGGAAAATCCTCGGCTCAAGGAAGGACCTGATAAACCCATAATAATATAACGGTCATCCGGTCACTTCCATATACCCACCATACCACTCCCACAATCAATACATGGATAGCCGAACGTTGTCGCCATTAACCACAAGACGCCCCATAGTCTGTGATAGCGAAGATAGGACCCCGCTGACAAGCCCTATCCCGTGTAATGTAGTAGAATCCGTGCAACCTGGAATCACCCAAAGGGAAACCCGGAAACTCTACTCCTCCTCGCGTGCCCTAACGAGATCACATTTGGAGTTTGGCATATGATCTTAAACTACCGGTAGACCTCACTAGTAGCTACTCCAATGAGTGGAACAACACCGAACACGAATGATTAGACCAAAATACGTCTCAACTACCATGGGTCTAATCCCTGAATGACCGTGCGACTAAGTCACCCAGTTGTCCGACTACTATCGTCCACTGTCGCCAAAGTGTTACGGTACATCGGGGTCGAATATCCTAACCCCAGATGATGCCCTCGCCTAGCACTACCGCACACGGCGACTAGATGATAGATCCATAAATCATATCCGATAAACCGTGCAATATGTGTGCAACATGCCAAATAAGTGAATTTACCGAAAAGGGCTGGTGAGACAGCTCACCTATCCTCATTTTCATAAATTCACCAATGTGATCAAATACGTATATCAAATATCATAAACCGTGAAGTCTCCCACATATATACACACACATATATATAAATATATACATGCACTGACAAAATGATTCACATAATATCACACTAACATATTAATCAGAATCGCATGCAACATGCATATCTAATTTCTTAAAATTAGATTTAATTCCCTACTGCTTACCTCTTGTCGACACTCCCTAGCTTTCGCAATTTCACCGAAATCTCTTCCAACGTACACATGTTTCATTATTTACTCAATTCAGTTGAGCTATATGCTTATTTATAGGAGCTACCTGCTTATTCAAAAGCTAATATCTATAGTTAGCTCGTTGGGTTTCTAACTTTTATATTTAGTAGACTACGATATTCTAGCTATAAAACTCTTATACCTCATAATACTTATATAGCCCGATTATTAAATAAAATTACTTAAAAATATGAATAAACAGGCAGGTGTAATTTCGATTCGACTCGGATCGATACGAAATTCTCAGAATATAATGCTAGGACTACGAATAGGCTATTAACTAAAGAAATTCGTCGATTAAATAGAAAAATAGCCAGTTATGAATTTTTTTTAAGAATTTCTAATTTAATATCTTCAATATCTAAATTCATATTAAAATCCATAATTAAATTCTACGTATAACAAGAAAAAAGATACCGAAGTCGGAATCGATATCGAACGGCTAAATCTTTTTCTTTCTTCTTTTCTTTTTTCTCTTCTTTCTCCTTCGCGTTCTTCTGCTTTGGTCGTCCTTCGCAGGTAAGGTTTGAGTTTGTATAAATATATACAATTATATTATTATTATATATATTATATTATATTATTATTATTAACGTTATTATTATTATTATTATTACAAATATTATCTTCATCATCATTACCTTTATTATTATTATTATATTATTATATATATTATATTTTATATTTATCTTTATCGATATTTATCCATTTAACAGTCTTTTCAATCATAATCAATATATAAAATAGGAATAAAATTTATTCCAGAGTATTAATTTATTGATTCCAAAATATTATAAAAATATTTATTTGCTATAATATTATTATTTTATACATTCCAAAATTGGGGTATTACAATTCACTCCCCCTTAAAAGATTTTGTCCTCGAAATCTAAACTCAAACGCATAACAACACTACTTAATTAAACAAATGTGCGTAT